CCAAGTTAAGCTAGCTAAAGCTTGTGTTATACGTGCTAGATAACTGATACAAATACAAAGATATATATTTTTATTGTCGTAAATACATACATACTATATTATATATAGAAAACACCCAGACTGATCCAAACAATTATACTCATGAATACAAATGTTTGTGCCGTGCGAGGAATCGAACGCGAGACCACCGAGGCCGTCAAGTCTTCATATTTTTATTTATCGCCGTCTTTCACAATACACACACACTGGAGAGTGAGTCAATCAATCAATCAATCAAGTCATATATTAAGAAAGTTACATATGAATGTGGATGGTTATAACGGCAGAGTAACATCGAAAATGAGATGGATGGACTGTGTGAAAGATGATATGGTAAAAAGGAAGTAAATAACGAGATGACTGCGAACAGGGATGGATGGAAGAGAACATATCATACCGACCCTAAATAAATTGGATAAGGAAGAAGCTGATGATAATAATCGGTTGTCTAATGGCTATAAGGTATCTACGCAGGTGATATTTCATATATTGAACTTTACATCCGTTTCGCGTCTAACATTTGTGTGTAAATATTTTATTGCACTCCATCTGACACATGACTGTTTATCTTTCACAGTCATTTGTAACATCTATAGCATTGTTTATTACTTCTTAACCAATTTTAAGAAATAAGATAAGGAATTGTTATTTATATGTAGCAGGAATGGTAAATAATCTAACGGCCCACCTGGTCGTGAGTGGTAAACATCGCTTATATTCATAAACAGAACTACGACATCATTTTATGATGTGACGCCCGTGCGTTGGTATTTTCTTAATTTGGTTTTGGTGACTGTAGTTATAAATAGTTTAAGTTTTGTGTTCTGCCTTACGGCTTGACTCCCCTCTATAAAAATCGTGCTACTATAAAATTTTTGTACAATTACATATTATATTCTTCCACAGAATAAGGCAAGTAATATCAAACAAGCCAGATTTTCTTTAAAAAAGTTTTTTTTTAGAACACGTAACTGAAAAACTGTTTCTTCCAAAAGAAGGACCTATCTTTAGTTCATTCGTATGACCAAACCGATTGGCGGTCTCCGTAGTCTAGTGGTTTAGCACGCCGCCTTACTTCCGATGGTCAGGGGTTCGATACCTCCCACGGTACAAATATTTGTATTCATGAGTACGATTGTTTGTATCATTATATGAATTGGTCTGTGATATTACACTTATTATAATACCTTACATATATTATTATACACTGTGAGTGCGAGTGGAATTATTATTTCTTTAACATCTGCAAACAACAACCACTTTTCATTTGGTGAACTGAAGGTGAAGGTGAATAACCTTGAAAACTGGATTTTAAAGAACAGGTTTTTAACAGGTATCTCTTTAATGTAACCCATCATATAATAAAAAACGGAAGGGTTTGTTTGTTTGAATTCGACAAACTCTAAAACTATTCATCGGAATTTATGTTTTATGTACTTGGAATAGCAATACATGCCTATATACAAGAATATCAAACATGGACATTACGTGATCACAAGACGTCTGTGATACCACTCTTGCGTTGTCATTCTAGAGGACTAAGATGTCATACCTCGTATCCTGTAATTTCACTTGCCTCACCCTTCAGCTGAAACACAGCTTGCTGACTGAGATAGGCGAAACTGAGGTACCCACACAAGACTTTTTAAAAAGTATACTTTGATATATATTTTTACTTTATATAGCTTAAACCTACATATGATGTTAAAATCAGAGGTGATGTAAGAGCCGATGAGAGTGCCCTGCATCGGATTCTGTTCACAGAAGATCAATTATGACTTTTGGGTATATAGAAGAGAAGAGAAGTTCGTTGTTTAATAATTATAAAATTTAATAAAAAGTATATACGTCGAATACACGTAATCGAATCGAAGTCGAAAACCCTTTAATTAATTCAAAAGTAGCCTATATCATCATCAAAAAATTCAATGTCATAGATACTGTCTATTTATTAATAAATTTTTTAACCGTACCGTCCAGTTAAGGCTTTCAAAAGAGACTAGAAACCGTAAGATACCCGTAGTGTAAAACAAGCATATATTTATGATTATGAACAATATTTATGCAAATGGGACTGTTTACTTCAAACTTTGCAAAATAATACCACATTTGTTTTCCTGATGCTGTTTATATTACTCCAAGGTTACCATTGCCATAACGTTACCTTGTTTATCTGTCCAGGCGATATAATATTTGATTCGATTGATCATTCCAGGTGATATAATATTTGATTCGTTTGATCATTCCAGACGATATAATATTTGATTCGATTGATCATTCCGGGTGATATAATATTTGATTCGATTGATCATTCCAGGTGATATAATATTTGATTCGATTGATCATTCCAGGTGATATAATATTTGATATTGAAATAGTAAATCCAGTATTGTGTACATTATTTATATCGTTAACCGGGACTTAACGTGAACACTGATGGCCTTGGTGATTTAGCGGTTTAGCACACCACCGCCTCACTTCCGACGGTCGCGGGTTCGATTCCTCGCACGGCACAAACATTTGTATTCATGAATATGATTATTTGTATCGGTCTGGGTATTTTCTATGTGTAATATGTATGTAGTTAAAATATAATATAAAATAAAATATTTGTAAAAATAAATATTCTAATAACAAAAGTTTTAGGTAGCTTAACTTGAGTTTAGATGGCGCTGTGTAAATTACCCTGAGATTATTATTATTTATTATTATTATAAATTTAAGGTAAATAAAGGTATTTACCTCTTTCGAGTTGTGTACAGTCACGGTTATTAATAAAGTGACATTGGCATGATTTAAGTAACTAACATTCTAACATTTATTTGTAATATTACTATGCCTATATTAACACCCATAGAAGAATACATATATATTCCTCTATTTTATTCATGCACCACCTACCACTATTTGCCTTTTTTGCTGTACTTACAAGTTACCTGGATGAGATTGTTTGATGCAATAAAGAGTTTAAAATTAAACACTTCTTATTACATTTCAAGTTCTTAATGGATTTTTATTATTTTTAAATTCATTACCGCATGTTTTAGACTACAAATTTTTAGTGCGAAAACCTGATCACTGATACTTGAAGCAATATGACCTTCCCCATTAATAATCAAATACTGACTTCTATAGCATCTACACCTATATTGCGACGAGTAATATAATAGAAAGAATAGAGAATAATATGTAAATGATTATGAGTTTGTAATGCAGCTCGACTTAACCCGAAGAATTGCGACACTGCAGTGGCAATGGGCAGCACATAGCTCGTAGGACAGATAGCTGTTAGGGCAGTAAAGTTCTCGGCGACCACGGACTGGAAGACGCATGACGATCTTCGACGATGATCTGGTCAAGATCTCTGGAAGTCAATGAATGCGAGCAGCGCAGGACCGATCGTTGTGGAGATCTTTGCTCCTCCAATCGATCTTTGTCCAGCAGTGGACGTCTTCCGGGCTGAGATGATGAATGCAACTTACACACGACATTAAAATTAGGGGTGACAACCCTGGTGTTTCAAGCTACTGATGTTCCTTAAGCTACGGTAACCGTTTGTCATAAGATGGATGGATATGCTTGTTTGTTATAAATTATAAATGACTGGAAGAGATTTCTTTTAGGGATAAGTCCTCCGTTGTTAACATTAGTTATAATTAATATACTTACAAATGTATTTAAATGCAATAAAGAATATTTATGATTCACATAGAAAACATCCAGACCAAAACAAACAATCATGAATACAAATGTTCGCATCGACTCAGGAATCGAACTCGTGTCTATCGGAAGTAAAGCGGTGTGCAAAATTACTAGACCACCTCGGCCGAGAATGAACTGCTTAATTGATGATGTAACTATATCAGTTTATTGAGTAATATAGTGTATTATTCTTCAATCATAATGAAATTCCGGGCCGACATTCAATCTTTATATTGAAATGTATAATTTAACATTAATTAATTATGTATAAAGTATAATTTAATAGGTATTTTACGCTACTAAATGTCAATGAACTTTAATAATTATTCAATTAAAATTTATCCTTGTAGTAAACAAAATAAACATGATTTCGAATATGAGTAATTTTATTAATTTTTTTGCATGCAAGGTATCACTTTATTAATAGGTGAAGCAAAAACTTTACACTGCTTTCTGCGAAAACTGCGCGAAATATAAATATAAAATATATATAAAATTTCGCACGATTATAAATAGTTTATATAGAAGAGTGACGACCTCGGTGGTCTAGCGGTCTAGCACACCGTTTTACGTCCGATGGTCGCGGGTTCGAATCCTCGCACGGCACAAACATTTGTATTCATGAGTATGATTGTTTGTATCGGTCTGGGTGTTTTCTATGTATATTATGTATGTATTTACGAAAAAAAATCTATGTATTTGTATTAGTTATCTAGTACCCATAACACAAGCTTTAGCTAGCTTAATTTGGGTCTAGATGGCGCTGTGTAAATTGTCCTGAGATTATTATTATTATTATTATTATTAAGAGTGCGAGTTTTTTTTAATTATGCATAAATTATTAATTACACATACTACCATGTATTCAATACACACGCATATATACTATTTTGTTTATTGTTAAAGTGTGTGGTCAAATTGAGAATAGATTAATATTGTTTGTTTTTAATATTATTTGTCTATAGTCTTACTGAATGTAAAATATAACCATAATAAGTTCTTTATTTTAATAATTTATCGGATTTATTACTAGAATGTAAGAATTCGCAGTGAAATTAAAGAATAATAGGTAAGTAATCATAGTCCTTTCAAATGACTACAATTAGAAGTATTGTGTGGAAGTGGCAAGAAACTCAATTGGTATATTTTTATAGTGTTATTAGTTTTTTTGTCAGTTTTAAACTTCAAATATAAAAAAAATATTTGAGTTGTGTATATATCTAATATAGAATAAGTAGGTATTAAAAGAAATTACTTACCACTATTGCGCTGCATAAATCTGGTGTAGGAGTCTAAGATAGACATGTTGAATGTAGAATTACCACCTGCAAAGAAAAATATTGCAATTAATATCTTTGTACTATATAATATTTACCCGAGGAACGACAATCTAATCCTAACTATGACGACACATCTAGTTTAAAGCTATGCACAGCTTGTATTGTAGCTAACTAAACGATTGACAGAAAATTTCATGAATTTGAAAAATGTTTGTACCGTGCGAGGAATCGTATCCGCGACCATCGGATATAAGGCGCTAAACCACTCGACCACCAAGGCCATCATTTATTGCAAACTTGTCGCATTCTGCCGCCTTGCTTCAGCAGCTTGTTTTGAAAACGGTTTCAGTTTGGATGGTGAGGCAGTGAAATTACAGATTACACGTCGTTTGACGTTCACGTTATTGTCTTATTAATATTATAAACTCGAAAGTTTGCAACTACGGAGGTCATTTTAATTATTTTGCGTTATTGAACAAAAAAAAAAACTCTTGGACAACAAGCGAGCTTAATGCCGTATGGCTCAGTATTCTCGACCAGTTTACTTTAGGGTATAATAAGGTAATATCAATAATTGTGAAAAATTTACTTACACTAAAAGTACGTAAAGATAACTAAAGTCAATCAGACAGTCACAGATGGTCAAAGTCAGACAGTCGAAGTAGCGGGTAGAAGCTACTAATGTAAATATGCATTTATGTATACGATAACTTTGAAATTTGCTATTTTTCTACGAAAAATTGTATGAAAATGTAAGGTGACTAACCTTTTTATTACATGCACGTTTATCTCAAGGTTACTTAATTTGAACAAGATTTTAGGAAAATTTGCTTATAAAATATTAAATGTAAAGTTTTAACGCAGCATATAAAAATATTATAGTTATAAATTATTAAAAATAACAAAACTCTTTGTTGAATTAAACTTCACATAAAAAAGTAGGTGCTAAAATTTAAACTAAACTAAACTACCATTATAAGACCATTTTAGAAACAGACTTAATTTTTTATAATTTATGACAATAAAATGGAAATAAAAAAATTGAAGTCAACTTTAATCTTTTGATTTTTTGTGTTAAAATATATTACTTCATTACGTTCTGAATGAGTGGTACAATAAAAATATTACTATTTAAAAATTCTTATTTATTTATTTATTTTTTCTCTTTATTTTGGCAACAAACAGTCGTTATATAAACATATAAATATACAAATAAACATATTTTTACAATAGACATTGAGTGCCGAAAATTTTTACATAATTTTAGTGAGCCTAGTGGACTGAAATAAAAACAAAACAATACAACTACAAATAAAATGAATAAAAAAAAAGAAATAAGAATATTACAGTACAAACATTATAATGACAAAAATAAAAAGGGTTTACTTTAGTATTTCGAATAGTTTCTTTCTGTATGTAACTAAGGTGCTTACATAAATATTATTTCTATTTAGTTTCAAAATAAAATAATAACAACAAACCTTATTATAATTCACAAACACTTCACAAAATAAATTTTAATAAAACTTTTACACATGAACCTTCGGAGACTCTGTCCCGTGTGAGATTAAAAATGTTTGTGGCCCTTTCCTTTTTTGATGTAATACAACAATTAAAAATCCCATTGATTAATTACTTATTACGTCATCGGAATTTGTACCACTTGTTAAGGACCAATTATGAATTACATTAAAATTTCCATCATAACCGGATTTATTAAGTATCTCTAATGTCTAATATGAGTCATCTGTGAAGATTTTGTTTGTATTGTACAACAACCGTAAATCTCCCTATTTCTTCAAGTAAACTATTCTACTACTGTCCTTCATACATCTTATCTGTTCCTTATTGCGTGTTACATAATACTTAATACATGTATGTAGTACCATGTCAGATTTTTTTTATAGAATGCACTCGCCTGCGCTAACAGTATGCGCTGGTAAGTTAATAAGTCCATCAGTTGGTAAGCCCATCGTGGCTAATTCACCAGAAATTTGACATGATGGTTTCCAAGAGGAACTGCGTGGAGGTAACCTGACATGGTACATTGCTAGCAATAGGGTTATTGATCTATATAATTAAAAAAATTATGGCTGGATTGTTACCGATATTTTTAGAACCTAGACCGCTAGACCGAAGAATCGAACCCGCGACCACCGGTCGTAAAGCGGTGTGCTAGACCACTGAGGTCGCAAACACCGCTTGAACAACTACATTTAAGTAATGTATAAATACTTTTTTATGGATGATAATGGAATGGTGCACCCGCCTGCGCTGACGGTTTACGCTGGTGAGGCGCCAGTGACAGACGATAGGATGATCATGAGGTCAGGTTAGTTAACCCATCGTGACAAAAATCACCAAGAATTTATCACGATGATTTCCAGGGGAACCGATGGTTGTAAACCTGACATAGGACATTGCTAACAATAAGATCATCAGTCCACAGTACTAATAATGCCCTATCCCTCGAATGTATACATAGTTAACCCTGCCAATAGGGAAAAGGGATTGTTAGTAATGCTGTCTCATGATCCCATTACTAACAATGTACCATGTCAGGTTGACCTCCACGCGGTTCTCCCTGGAAACCATCGTTATAAATTCCTGGTGAATTTGTCACGATGGGCTAACTGACCTGACTTCATGTTCATCTTATCATCCTCCACTGGTGCCCCGCCAGTGTAAACCATTAGCGCAGGCGGGTGCTCCATACCATTATCATCCATAAAAAAAACCCTGCCAATGTATAGGTTATATGTTCATGACCGACCGATTTGTAATAACGTAAATGCCGATATGTCGGAAATACAATTAGATTTAACAATAGCTGATATTCTCACGATTATGATACATTTTCCACGAAATGGCCATACTTATAGTAATTTTATCTAGATCAGTTCCTTATTTGTCGGACATAAGGCATAATATTGATTAGCAATGACTTAATTTATCGTCGTGTACTGAATCAGCACGTAGAAATGATGAAGAAACCTCACTGGGATTTCATTGTTTGAAGGTTTTGTCATATTCATAATTACAATGAGAAATCGGCTGAGAATAAGTATATATCAAATTCTAGAGAACATGTACACATTTATGAAGGTTACTTGCGACTTTTACAAGATCGACAATAATAAATAACACTGTACAATTAACACAGCGCCATCTAGTCTCACGATAAGCAAAGCTTGTTATGAGTACTAGACAACTCATATAAATACTTAGATATTTTTTTTGTAAATACATACATAAAATACATAAACCAATGCAAACAATTATACAAGAACACATATATAATAATATAAATGTAAATGTATAATAATAATAGAAATGTTTGTACCGTGCGAGGACTCTAACCTGCGACCATCTGAAGTAAACCGCAAGATTGGAGATTACAATAATAATAACCTAAGAAAATTTATACAGCGCCATCTAGTTCTATGCTAAGCAGAGCTTGTGTTACGGGTACTAGACAACTGAAAGATAATAATACATAGACAACACCTAGACCGATAATCATACCCATGAATACAATGTTTGTATTTTGCGAGGAATCGTACACGCTACCTTCGTATTTTAAACTATCAGATCTACCAGTAGTATTGATAACTATCAGTAGTATAGTATTTTGTAAAAAAAAAATCGGACTACTCTAATGCTTTTGTCCGCAGGTGGCCTATACAGCTTCACCGAACGATGGGGGCCGAGTGCAGATGGCACTCCAAACCCGTAGAAGGACTTAAGGAGCGGCTGAAGATCAACTTCCGCCTGACAGATACGACTTTAGTCTGAGGACACCGCTAGTAGTTCGAATTTTGACTTAGGACGTCGCAATTTCGAGTTCCGTTTAAATTTCGACGGAGATCGATCGAAGGGGAATTAATAAAAGAAATTGTAGTCATTTACGTATACACACAACCGACTACTTACCGTCAGTGATCGTCAGCATGTTTGCAAAAGGAAGTGTGTAAAAAAAAAACAGTGATTATTTATATTGTTAGGACAATAATGGTTGTATGTTCAAGTAAACTGAAGCCGGCCATATTTGTCACTTATGTCTTTGTTAAGTGATTATTAACCATACACTCATAGCTATAACAAACATATTTCAATAACATCTCCACTCATTTTTGCGATCTCCAAATAAAAAGTACTATGTGCGTCATCTCATACTATGCTTGGCTTACTTCGTTTCTCAAGTAGGCACAATAATGTAGCTAAGATTCTTCCTTATTCTTCAGTTGATCCATGACCAAAACATTTGTAATAGCGTCGAAATATCGAGATCTCACACTTAATATTAACACTATATCTATATTAATATTATAAAGCTGAAGGGTTTGTTTGTTTGTTTGAATGCGCTAATCTCAGGAACTACTGGTTTCAATTGTAATATTCTTTTTGTGTTGGATAGTCCATTTGTCGTGGAAGGCTTTATTTATATGTAACGTTAAGTTACGACCAATAGAAGCAAAGTAGTGAAAAATTTAGCAATTTTTTTTTCGGACTACTCTAATACTGTTGGCCGCAGCTGGCCTTTACAGCTTCACCGGACGATAGGGGACGAGTTCAGTGGCACTCCAAACCCGCGGAAGGACTTATGGGGCGGCTGAAGGCCAACTCCCGCCTGATGGATACGACTTTAGTCTGAGGACACCGTTAGGGGTTCGAGGGTCTCAGCCGTCGTAACATCGGTCCCCGTTTGAATTGGACGGGGGATCGATCGGAGGGGAAATGTTGTAAAAACGGAGAAGAGTAATATTTGAGAGCTTCGAACGAAGTCGCGGGCACAGCTAGTTATGAATAAATTACACATATAAATAAAAATGTTTTAATGTAAACAAACATTTTTCTCATACAGAGAATATCTTCTTATATATAAAATTCTCGTGTCACAATGTTACTTACCGTATGGTAAGTATATGGAGGAGTATTCCTCCGAAACGGCTAGACCGGTTTTTATGAAATTTTATTGCAAGGAATCGAACCCGCGACCATCGGAACTAAAGCGCGGCAAAACCACCGAGGCCGTCCAATATTAA